GTCAGGGTAACCCAAATAGGGGGAGGAGACAACAAATACCCAACAGCTGCACAAGAACATCCTTCTGATTTTTTTTCCATCGATTGGATGGGCTTGAGGCAGCTGGTCCCTGCGATTTTTGTGTTGTCCCCATGATTGTCTTTTTACCCACCTTCCTTTCCCTAACCATTTCCGGTTTCTTTTCTTTTGGATCAACAGCTGTACAGTGGCGAGCAATGCGTGAGAACAGTATGATGGTAATATATGGACGATAGTATGATAAGAAAGCCCAGCATTTTATCTCAAGTCAACCCACCTGTTTTCTTGGTAGTCCGGTCTTTGGATGATTGTACTGGTGCAATTCACAGCAGGATCACATTCAGTAGCCATACCTTGGATACAATCAGTTCCTCAGGAAACTTCACCTTGTCTTTGAAGAATTTTCACCACTTTTTTGGTGTTAGCTTCACTCCATAGCTCTGATACTGATGCAGAACCCTCTCCATTCACGTAAGGTGATTATTTCATAATGACTGGCTGTGGACTAGATTAGCTTCCAAATGATGGCTGGGATGTTTCATCCATGAGGCCTGCAAGGCACTCCTCTCCACCATACTTCTGCTTGAAACAGCTGGCTAGGGGCTGGAGGACAGGTCATTTATTATTATAGCGAGCTCAGAGCTAGTGTGCGCGCGCGACCTAGCTGTCTCAATCTCTTTTCCTATAATAGATATTATTATCATTATACTCTTATATCTATTATAATTATCATATATTATCGACTACCTCCGCCAGGAAACCCTGATGGTATGCCTTGCCTTGTCCAAACAGAAGAATCCATGCAACTTCAGTCCACTCATTAGTTAACGATAATCCTGCGGCACTCGAGGGATGGGGATGACGCTCTGGAATGGATTTCCGGTTCAGTTCAACGATAAGCCACTACACTACCGAGGAGCTCCCATCCTTCTTGCGCACTACAAACAATGGGTGATGAGTATGGAGATCTGGGACTATTTTGTATTCAACCTCTGTTCAGCAGGGTCATCAATATTCCTTGCACCTCTTATATAAGGCAGCGAGCTCTATATCTTATATCACTAATCCTATCTCTATCTCTATTATTTGTCACCGCCTTCTCTTATATCTGTTCTTTCTATTTTATATCTATCCTCTCTATTTCCTTAATTTTTAGCTGCAGGGATGGAATTGCACCCCACAACACGCTCAAGGCCTTTGAAAATGCATTAACACTCTGTCATAAAGGCATCCTCCTACTAACCCTCATCTTGTCTTGCTGCATCAGTGAAGTTCAGTGGTCAATGGGCACTAGAAGGTGTCCTCACCGATCATGTTTGGATGCTTCCGTCTCTTCTGTATTCACCATTGTAGTGTTCGTACGATTGCTGGAAGGTTGCATCACGTGCAGGGTGAGATGATCTTTTGTGCTTTCATTTACACTTGCAATCAACCGGTCATGTGTGGCTTTCGACTGGATAAACGCTTCTTGTTCTGCTGAAAGGTATCCCAATTAACGGTGCGCGTATAAGTTAATGTTCTGAATCTCGGTCCGTCATTTCTTGTGACTGGGATCCATACTGCTGACCGGGTTTTCCTCTTTCAGGCAGACCACTGTTTTTGAGATGTTCAAAGCCCTCAGTGTTGCCGAGTTTAGGGACCACCTCCTGGCTCAAAACAGTGACATCCTTGTCTCTTAGAGAGAGGACTAATCCTCACCTCTCACATATCACCTCTTTTTGTTCTGACTCCGCTCGAATCACAGTTTTTGCCGTCCTATATTTAACAATGCTTCTTGCGTTAATTTTGGTGAGCTGTTTTTTACTAAGTGGAATAAACACATCTGCCTTTTTGCAGTCAAATAGAAAGCCTCTTTCAATGCTATGGATGTGACACCAGGGAGGTGCTCCCATGCATTCTTTACTAAATGTTCAATTACATTGTATGCCAAATTATCAGGGTGGCTCAGACCACATCCAGGCTCATAAGAAGACGAGCACTGGCCCTAACAGCAGTTCTTGGATTCAGGCCACCCTTTGACCCAAGTGTTTGAATGTTATTACTTCATCCAACCTGCAAAGGGTATGGAGTCGGTTTGCGCTTAGCTTTTCCCAACCAACGTCTCTCCCGTCCTCTTAAGAGCTCAACCTGTACTGCGTAACTGATGTGGGTGAAGTCTGGGACTCCTCCAGCTTTCCATTATGACTCTTATATCATCTTCTCTGATTCTGTCTTCTTTATCTTATTTCTCTCTTCAATAGCTCTAGTCTTCTATATAGATAATATCTTGGTATCTCACTCAGTAGCCTATGCTGACGCGTGATCTATCTCTGAGGGACTCCGGGCGCTCGTGAGCTTTCGAGCATATTTGATCTCTAGCGAGTATCTGAGCCCGTCAGTTTGTGTGATGAGTATGGAGAGGTTGACTGGCATAGATGGAACCCTAGATTTTTTTTGTTTTTCTCATCCCTTTCCACCTGCTCTCCTCCCAGCTGTCTAAGTCGTTCACAAGAGCCGTTCATACTACCCATTATTCTTCAGTTTACTCCTTGGGGTAGCAGTAGTGTGGTTGTGGATGTGTGGAGGTTTTGCAGACGTCACAATCTCATGCCAGCTAGGTTCAACAGTTAACCTCTTTGTCCCGGTGCAGCCTCTGGAGAGTGTGCCCCACACTGTCCACACTTAAAGCAATGCTCACACTGATCACTTATGTTGTTAGCTCTTCACAACCTTTGCACCCCCTCCTAACATTCCTTCTTGCTTAGGAAACAGGCTGCCAGCTGGTCATGTTTTTTCCTTTCATTTTCAGCAAACTCTTCTCTGAGCACCTTACTTGTTTCTTACAGCATCTGACTCCCTAGAATAGATGGGTGCGAGGTTTTACGGGTTTTCTGCTTCACAACTTCGGCTGATTGTTGCTTGGTTTGCAAACTGGTGTTAGGTGCTTGCCTGGTTTTGCTGCTGTTTTGCATTTCGTTTGTAGTCTCGTTAATTTTTGGACTTTTAGTGTTGTAGCTTTTTCCTCTGTTGTGGAGACTGTCGTTCTGAATCCACACTTGCAGCCTCATTCATTCTATTTCAATAAGGTCTCATCTGTCACTGTTTGATCATCAAGTGAGGGGGCTTCAGCTTGGACTTTTATGTTGTCACTTAAACAGTCCAGTACTGACTGACCTTCAGGAATTTCCTTTGAATGAAGATCGGACGCTGTACCAGCTCAACGCAATCGACTTCCTAAGAAGCAGAGACAGCAGCCATCTCTTTAAAGTTTCCCCAGGGGGGGGGGGTTGGGGGAATTGCCCTGAAGAGGAAATTTTTAGGGGATTCACTTACATATCCTAATTATCTGTATCTCTTCTATTATCTTTCTCTTCTCTATCTTTATATATACTACTTATCTCTTATCTTTTTTCATTGATCTATCTCTTCTATCTTTCTCTCTTCTTCTCTCTATGATACTCTAGTTACTCTCTCTCTCTTCTCACTCTTCTCATCTAATCTTATTGAGAGCTGGGACAGTGGTCAGATCACTTTAATTTCCAGCATGTCACGAATACTTAACCAGGGCAGATTGATTTTATTACAGCTTCGATTACTTCAGCCTCACTATGTCCTTTACACAGCCTCTCTCAAAGACTGAATCGCATTAAATTTGTGTAAGATAGCCTGTCTTTCTGACCCTTCAACCCCTATCCTACCGACATATTTTAAATTCCCTCCGTATGGTCACTTCTGGAAGCCTATTTGCTGCTGTTGTCATCACATTTTCAGTCACTGTTCTCTGAGGTTTACTATTTATGTGTTCATTTAACCTCCGTACTTTCTCTTGCAAAGCTTGGTTGTTAAGGTGGAGTTGTGAGTATTTTTCTGCCAAGTTCATTTCAGTTACAGCCTGGGCATTTTCTGACGTGTAACTCATTGCCATCGCTTCAGCAGTAGCTTCAGAATGCTGTAATATCAGTTCAATTGATTTTAACATTCTCTGCAGATAGCACCTCCCCACCTCCTCTTCTTCATCGTTAATCACAGCATCTATGGACTCTGTTATTAATCGTATCAACGCTCGCCTTGTTACAGAATGACCGCTTTGGATTTTCGCTTCTGAACACACCTCTTTGAGCTGATCCACCTGTAAGAGCCACAGCCGCTGAGAGACGGTCTCCGCCAGCTCCTCCGTGTCGTCGGGCGCGTCCAGCGTCTGCGCGCTCCCGCTGCTGCTCGCTCCGACAGTCAGCATCACTCAAAAGAAAAGTCCCGCGGCGAAGCGCTGATATAAATCTCGGTGGGACCTCCAATATTTTGTTGCACACTCGAACAAAGTGACGTTGAGACATGCGGTGGTTTTAAATTTTCTTTTACTTTTTCGTTTCTTCTGGAAATACAAACAGTATTCGTATATCTGACGTGCATCACACTATGGCTGCTATCAACTTCTGAGCTTCTTCTCCAACAGAAAACTTTGGACCCCAGGGTGCCCTAAAATGCCTGTTCAAAACAAATCCCTTTCTAAACTCATTTCAATCTCTCAGCCAGAACAGTTATCAATATACTCTTATGAGATTTCAGCTTAACATTAACAATGACACGCAGTGCCGTTTAATAACAAAACAAAATAAAATATTAGGAAAGAGAATAGAATATTTTAATGGAAGGGGGGGGGGGGGGACCCTTGATCTAACCTCCCAAGCATCTGATCCCCCACAATATCCAAAACCCTATTTCAACTTTACAAAAAAGCCACTGTTATTCCTCCCAAATATGAAAAGTAGCACTTTAAACACTGCTGAAGTCCAGTTAATGTTTATAAAATACATAAAAGACTATTAAGTGTTTCTTTTGGCAACCGTTGTGCATACAATGATTAAAATAACATGTTCTTTGCAGTAGAAATCTGCTCAAGGCTAAATTGAAACATCTCTTCTGCTTTAAAAAAAATACACAATCCTCACTTTCTTAAAGTAGTTGTATGTAGTCCTAATGTAGTTTTTAAGTGAATATGGCACTGACATAAGCAAGAGCATTTATTTATGACTTTGTATCTGGTTAATCAAAAAGTTGCTTTCAGTCTGTAATATAGTAATTCACATATTTCGGAAAAGAAAATCAGCAGAATTTGATAGGAAATAGGGAAATGTTAAAAAATACAGTCCAATTGAGCTGTGATCAATGAGGAAAAACATCTAAAAACATTTATCAAATATAAAAAAAATAAACAATCACATAATAGTTAAAGATACATATTCAACATACATCATACTTCTTAAATCAAATCAGTGCTGGTGCATGCTGCAGAGAAAAGCTACTTCTCACAGATCCAGTTCTGTTCAACACTGCAGTTCTCGTCGTTCCAGTCACCACTTCCTGTTGCACGGTGCCAGAACTCCACACAGTCCTGGTCCCTCCCTTGATGGCTATTGGGCTGCCCTTTAGCCCAGAATCTAAGAAATACAAAGACATATCAACAAAAGGAACAAAATCTCAAGAAAATATTGTATATTTTTGGATTAAAAAGTTAAGCTTCTTACGTTAAAGTCAGTGGTGTTCCATCCACCCACTTCCAATGCCCTTCCACTCCTCCATCAGTAAGACCGATCCACACTTCTTTGTCACTGCTGTACAAAGTGTTGAGGAAATTCTAGGGAGACGAAGGAAAATCAGCTGAATTATCACTTGAGTAATTCCCATAACAGTTTTGGATATTTGGGAAGTATGAGGCCACTGTTTGTTTCAATTCACTTTTATAATCTGTCTTGGCTAAGAGTTTTATCAGGAATTACTTAAAACAAATCATATAATTTTTCACAATTGAATTCAAAGGGCTGCATCCAAAAACAAGTGATAATGTTTGTCTCTTTAACTTATTTTTCAAGGCTTTAACAATAAAAAGAAAACTGTAAAACTTACATGCAGTATATAAGCTGCAACGCACAAGTTTCACAAGTTGACAAAATCAAGATACCTTAACTGGTTCACCTACATTGCATTTTTAAAAGTTGCCTGGACAGCTTAAGTCAGACTTTAACACCTCAATCTCGAAGTTAAGTTTGTTTAGATGTTTCAAAAGGAATATTTTAATTGCCTCTTTTACACTTTCATAGTACATTGAATGAGCAAACCATTTCTTCTCTGCTGTTCACGATTGCTAGGTCTGCTCCTTTGTTCAGGCAGTCCTCTCTGCTTTTTGTCCAGGTTTTTTTTACTGTAGAAGGGAAGTAGCAGCTATACTGGAACTTCTTCCAGCCAGCAGTGCAGTTCTTCTCTGTGATCGAAACAAAGAACAAAGTTGAACATGTTTGTTAGTCTATCTAATCTGAAAATACACCAACTAAAAAGATGTTAAGAGTATTCCATGGTGAAATGGAATTAAAATATTTGGAGATGTCATTACAAAGCACAAAAATACTCCAAAAAATAAAGTAAAAGGATTTATTGATTGTTTGTCCCACCTTCAATCGTTGCATTGAGTTTGTTGACAGTCCCCAGCAGTATTTCTCGTTCAGCCGTAAGGTTGTCAGCTTTCGATTTAAGCAGGTCTCTCTCTGTGGTAACGTTCTTAAGGCTCTTCTCAAGTTCGCTTTTCTCCCTCATCACCGATTCATATGAACTCTGCAAGTCGTTTTCTCCCTTCTTTAGTAGGCTGTATAGGTCTTGTAATTTTCTTAACTCAGTTGTCAGGTTTTGGTTGCTGCTTGAGAGATTGTCTTTCTCACTTATAGAGAAGTTGTATCTGTCGTGTAGCTCCTCTACCTTCTTGATCACATCATTGTAACTGAGCTGGAGCTGATCCCTTGATCTGGTAACATTGTTGAATTTGTTCTGTAGATTGTTCCTCTCAGTAATTACGGTGTCATAATTGGCCTGTAGCTCTTTTCTGCTTTTGACAACTGCATCATATTTTGTCTGTAGGCTGATTTGGGCTGCATTCAAGTCATTTCTCTGTTGCTCTACCTGGGCAATACTGTCTTTTAGCTTTCCTAGCTCTTTATTTAAACTACTGCTGGTAGCCTCTGCCTGACTTTGCTTAGCCTTAAGTTCATCTCTCTCATTTGACAGAACTCTGTTATCGGCCTGTAGTTGGTATACTCTTTTTGATAAGGAATCAACTCTGTCTTTGGTCTGCTTGCAACCCTCTTCAACATTCTTTTTCGCTTGTTGTGCAATCTTTAGGTTTGCTTGTAGCTTCTCATTGTCTTCATTGAGACCTTTAAATTTGTTCTGATTGTCTTGTTTAATATTTTCATCTGCTCGAAGAATTAAAAAAAAACATAAAAGGAACACAAATCAGTCCATTTTTTTTATATCAAACAGTGTGAAATCTTGACAAATGTATATAAAGTGTAACTCACAGTGAACACTCTGACCTATGATCCAAACCAACAGAAATACGCAGACCAGTCCAAGGCCAATAGTAGCTAATTTAAAGCTGTTGTTTCTCAAGGCATACACTGAAAGATAGCACGCAAAGCAGAAGCAGAAACACGGATTTAATGAAGTGATCTGAGGAAGTTGTGGCATTACTGGGTTGTGTTGCAAAATCATATAAAGACATTATACTGTCAGTCAGTTGGGAGGAAAACATATTTTTGATGTTCTCAAATCATTAAAACAAGAAAAATGTATGTTTCTTTAACCTATTTGTCAGACGTGTTAAAGGCAATCATTTTGATTTACCAACATATTTCTTCTAATTGGAGGTACTATAAAAGTTAGGAGTTCAGAGTCCTATTCTGGCCCATTGATAATCTTCAGAAAAAGCTAAAGACAGGTCATGGTAAAAAGGTTTTTCTTATACTTATAATAATCTTTTAACAATAAAAGTGTGAAAAGCTTTTGAATTCAGTTCCCTTTAAACGATGCTTCACATAATGACCCTGGTCAAACATCTATTTTTGTCCTTCAGAGCAGTGATTCCAACCTGGGGTACGCATACCCCTAGTGGTCCGTGAATGCATCACAAGGGGTACATTAAAGTGTTTTATGTCTTAGGTAGTAAAATAAAATAGGACTTTTTGTGAGGACCCAATTGAAAGAACATCAAACAACTTTCACTAGCCAAAAAGTATATTTTTATTTGAGTTCACCTTCAGCTCTGATCAAAACCAAGCAGGGGTAAAGACGTGATGTGGAAAACTGCCTGGTATCAGCGGTTTTTCCCACTGATCTCATCAAAGCAGCTCAGGTGTCTTGATGAAAACAAAGTAAAACTATTGAAGTCAGTCTACTATAATTTCTGTTCTGAATTTGTTTTTAAATTCATCAAGTTTAAATGTGATTATAAGGGAGTTACTCAGAGGAGCTCCAGTTTTATAAATACTGTTTTAAAATATGATATGAATATGATTTATTTCGATTCCTTCCTAACTGCCAGGCATCTTGTGTTAATATTTTTTTTATTTGAGATAGGTATAATAAAATGGCTAAGAATAGAATTGCTCAAATTAAAAGATTAAGTAAAAAGGTTTTTATTTTATAATCAGTTATTGTATGTTTCACTTTTGGACAATCATCAGTATTTCTGACTGAAAGGGGCTACACAAGCACACAAGCAGGATACTCTGCTTTAGACCAACTTTTCCTTTGAAAGGAAATTACACATTGAAACTTAAACAGAAACAATTCAAACTTTCAACTACAGTATGTAAAACCTTGTAGATATTCTTTTAAAAGTTACTGCAAATGTGCATTGGAGCTTTTAATTGCTCCTCCATCTGCCTCTGAGAACTATTCAGCAAGTTATTTGTTAATTAGATTATTAATACAAGGGAAGTGAAGAGAGTCATTTATTATTATTATTTATTATTATTAGTAGTAGTATTATTATTTATTATTATGACATGTAAGATAAAGGCAGGAACATCAGATCCTGTGTGTCGGTATCTTTTCATGAGCAAAGGCTTGAATCAAAATTATGGTTGTTTCTGTACCTGAATGGAGGAGCTTCTTTCTTCCATCAGAAAAATTTGTGTAGGGTGTTTCACTATTGGTCATTTCCATATCAGTTATCTTGGAGGCTCGGTACTCAAAGCTCATCTTTTTCGGGATGAATTATCCAAGGACCTAACAGAGAAAATGAAAAACTGTTAGATTTTGTTGGAGAAGAAAAGTATTCAGCAGTGTGGCCAAAAAAAAATCAAGGTGCTTTATGTAATTTCAACCTGAAAAAGTCTATAGTGGATTATCATTACCTTTAACATAAAAAGTATGAAAGTGAAATTAAGTTACATGGTATGATCAGTAGAGCAATTTCATCCATTCAAAATTTAATTGATGATACAAAAAAAAAACGTACCTCTTTAGGGAGAAAAGCTAAAGTCAAAGAACTGCTCCAAACAAGCTGGTTTTAGGCGGAGAGGCATGAAGTCAAATCTACTTTCTGCAGCTACCAGCTGAATATTCTGTGAACACTTACGCAAAACCTTGATACCCGGTCAGAAGGAGGAGCAAAGATATGTCTCCTTTATCAAAAACTGGGGAATTATGAGTCAGGATTTTAATGCTTTAAAGTCGTTCTGTCATAAAATCATGTTTGTTGTTTAACTCATATTTAGGATACAGCTTATAACCAAAACTGTTTCACAAGGATAATAAATTAAATATAAAATGTGTTAATTTGCTGAATATGTGCTATGTGCTTACTTTCAATAAACTGTTTTTACCCATATTGTTTTTTTTCCTTATCTTTTTAAAATGTATTGAAAGAGAAAATATAATAATCAGAATTTAGGTAGCCCTTATTGCTCTGGTTAAAACTGTAAGGTCAACATTTGAAGTTTTTAATTGCCTGCATTATGATTAGGTTCATACAGGCTAAAAGGCTAAGTCAATCACACTATTATTTCCACTCATCCGGGGTTCTTCATGTTTATTTATTTTTTGTTTATGTATGTTTTTGCCTTGATATTATTCCTCAACCAGTGAAGATTAAAAAAACAAAGATTGGATCAAAACAAGTCTTCATCATCTGGTTTGTCTTATTTAGAATTTTTCCATAACCTGCAAATTAAATGGATTAGGAAGTTAACCTATTACCCTATATTTCTCTGACATATTTAGCTAGATTTTGTAGTAATATGTTTTTTTGAGCAAACTAGGCTCTGACTTAAGTTTCATCTACAGCAACATGAAACTAGTTTCTTTTGCAATAATCATTTCAAAACATTTTAAAATATTTTCTTCTTCCCACAAGCTTACTGCGAAACCCGTACTCTACTAAATATAACTGCTGATTCAGGAATATTTTTGCTGACCAGAAAATCAGTTTTTATGTGTCGGTTTGCAAAAAGACTGCCTTCCTGTCTTTCACAGATTTGATATTGCATAACCTCAACTACCGCTAAACTTGTTTCTACTCTTATTTCACAATATGAATCCTTAAGGTTGTTTTTTTTTTCTTTTAAGCATTTCTGTTAGATTAGAAAACATGTTATAATGCCACTAAAAGAAACCTGATCTTTCTATTCTTTACTTTTTAACCCTTTTTCATCACATTTAACTACAGTTAGTTGCAAAAGTATTCGGCCCCCTTGAACGTTTCAATCTTTTGTGACATTTTAGGCAGGGCCGTTTCAAGGAATTTTTGGGGCCCTAAGCAAAATTCACTTAAAGTGTGATGCATCTCATGGCATATTCCGATAATGGTGTCATTATATATATATATAGTAGAGGGAGACAAGACCGATTGTATGTGTGTGGCAGGCATCTATGCACTACAGAGCATCGTTAATAATGGCACAGAATAAACTCTATGCATCTATAAAAAGGCAATTTCTGTTGATATTTTTTAAAGTCGTAGGGAAGCGGCTGTTCCAACAGTTGCATTTCCGAATTCTCCCGATGGTGTCCAACTTTACATGAATAAAGTGAATGTGATTGGTCAATTATCAAGGGGACAGGATTGTTGTGGCGGAACGTTCGCAAGCAAGTTTGGTTATGGCCGGTGTCTCTGAAGCATCTTGCTAACCAGTTAGCAACTTATATCTAGTAGGTTCCCAATGGGAAATTACATTGGGGCCAAGTAGCACTAAATTTTGACTTAGAAACTACTCTGTCAAGGAACTGTCAGAAACCTGCAAGAGGGGGAAAGTTTTGTGTGGATGCGTCTCCTCCGTCATACATTTTTTATTTAGGGGAGGAAGAGGACGCCAGGGTGGCAGAAGCTTGGTTTGGTGTAGAAGGCTTCCAGCCGTACATGTTTGAGCCCTTGCCTCACAACGCTGCCAGTTCTGTTTGCCCTACGCCTGCCGAAGACACAGACGTCCATCCCCATGAACACTGGGACGGAGCTCAATGGTAAAGTAAATTATTCTTATTTCAGCTGTTGGGTATATGCTGCGACAGATGAAACAAGATGCTATGAAAATTTTTAAGACAGATGATTGTTATGATTGGCCAAATTTAGGTGTACAAGCTGACGTATAACTAACTGGCCTTCATAAGATAATGAAAAAACCCCCACAAATTTTAAGGCAGGATTTTTTTTTTTTAAATAGAAATTTTTAACTTTTGGGACAACATGGTCTGATAAAGAGTCCATGTATGAACATGGTTAAGCCAGAATGATTTAAAATTTAAATATGACTTCCCTACGACTTTAGCAGATAGTGTCTTAAAGCATTTCAGCCTTATTGAGGTTTTGAATATGAGTTTCTGTGCATCTTTTTTATTTTTTAAACCATTCTCCAAAGACATAGAATATATATTTTCTGCTGTCATGAAAAAGCATTTGATTGTGCTGAGGTACAGTAGACTAAATGTCATTTGCGCCTGAGAATGTTGCTGTAAACCTGCTCTTTCAACTGATTGTGGCAATGACTGGCAGCTACACAGCATGTTCTTTGTGTTGGTTCATAACAGAAGTGTTAGTACTTATTTTATTGTATTATACACACAGGATTTTCTTACAATCTAATACAAATTATCCAAGGACCTCAACTTAGATGATCTGAGATTTTATAAAAATTCCCATAAAAGTGCGGAAAGAAAGAAGAGGGAATGTTAAAAAGCATTATTACTCTTGTTTCATACCACCAGGCTCAATATGGCTTGCGCTTTGCATAAGTTCTCCTCCAGTCAGAGTGCTGCTGGTAGCCACAGCCAATTTTCAGCATGATGATCATTTTGAAGTGCTTGCCACACAGTCTGCATGCCCCGTTCCCAGAATATTAAGCAGTCAAACCAAAGCTCTTTCTTCTTCAAAGATATCATTCCCATTCTCCCTCCTTACACATAGTACTTTGATTACAATAAATAAAGGCTGTATTTACAATAAAGTTATTTGATTATTTGCTGATAAGTGAGCAGCTTGGCTAAACAAGTTGTTGGATAGTGGTTTGGAAACGCTTTTATTTTTATTCCTGAATGGCTCAATCTATTATTAAACATGTATTAAATTTCATTTATTGTTCAGAAAACCCTAGCTTGATGTTGATTTTTGATTTATTTGATTTGACAATTAATACTTGTATGTATTGATCTATTCCTGCTTAAAATGTCTATTGTAAGTGCATGTCTAGATCTCTGTAGGATTTCTTTTATATCAGAAAAATATATTTAAAAATTGCTTGTGACTTTTAAATAATCAGTTTCTATCTAAGACTACCTTAATGAATAAATGTATGCTGGATTAATTTTTTTTTTTTTCTTTTTTAAACCATTTTCTTGTCTTGCTATTTTGGACAACGTAGTACTAGAGTTCTGCCCTTTTGTTAACTTAACAGTACAAGAAATAATTATAAACAATTTCTGCTATAACTTCTATATTCTTTTTGTTTAACTTGTAAAAAGGCTTGTCTGCTTTAGCTTTATTTTTCCTAAACCCACTACATCAAATAAAGTTTTATAAAAACAAAAACTGAGATAATTCTCTCTTTGAGTGAAATTTCAGTCTCTTAAGCAATCCTCCCTTCTCTTCCAAACAGTTCTTTTAATACCTACCACATGTTTAATGTACATGGTTGTATACATATTTGTACAATGACTATGGCTGTGTCAGCTATAGGTAGTAATTGTATGAAGATGTGTGCAGACACACCTGAATGTGTAAATGTATGTTTATATGTACATACAACAATTTTATTTGCTCACTTAACAAACTTTTGCAGTGGTGTATTCATTATTACTTCCACCATGGAGGTTACTGTATGTTTTTAGCAGAGTCTGTGTTTGTCACACAAATTCAGATTTTAATAAAATTGGAACAGGAATTTCTTTAACAACAAGAACAAGTAGTTCCCACCTAAACAAAAGGGTGGCAGCAGTGAGTATTGAAAGCCTGAGCAGTCCAGAGGTTTTTTACTGAAGACATAAACACATGGTTTGTTAGCAGAATCAATTGAAATCTATGAACTTAACAAAGGTGTGCTTCATGTCGAGGCACAATTAATTTCCATTTGTAAATTAATTGTTGGAATGAAGTGGTAATGATCCGATGTTTTCGAGTTTTAGCTATAGGTGTAATTCACAATTTGGGGCAAAATATGCTCCTTGGCGGAGGGCTTTGCTCTCTGGGTGCTTTTCTAGTTTCTTTTGCTTCCCTCCATTATCTGTGATTGCAGCTTTTCATTTTAAAACGTTTTTCTGTTGAATTTGACATTTTGTGTTTGCATGTCTTGAAGTTGGTACCATTTGTTTGCATTGGGGTTTGCCATATGCTGTGTGTTCAGCCGTTTGCAAATTTTTACCCCTGTTGCACAACCTTTGACACAACATATGTCTGACATAAAACAAACACATCTGATATATATGCTATATATATATATATATATATATATATGTGTGTGTGTGTGTGTGTGTGTGTGTGTGTGTGTGTGTGTGTGTGTGTGTGTGTGTGTGTGTGTGTGTGTGTGTTGGTTTCACGTTTTTAGCAACTAATGTTGCCAAAATATCCAGCTTTAGCACCCGCGGATTGGGCCAGGAGGCCTCCGCCTATGATCCCGATCTTCTTCGCTTTGGGCTTCCCCCAGCAGAGCTGTAGGAGGTATCTGCGGAGAGGGAAGTCTGGGAGTCTCTAGATAGACTGCTGCCCTCATGACCTGGTACCATGTCAAGTGGGAGATGATGACGAGCATTAATAAAAAAAACTAATAAAACTAAGACTAATGTAATGTTATTCAGAAAAAGGATGCATCAGACGCCTTAGTCATCTTACATGCTCATCTACAGAGGCAGTTTCCTGCCCCCTACACAAGTCACTGCTTCAATGACATCATGTTATGTAGCAATTTGTTGTCCTTATACACAAACATTAGATTAACCACTAAAACTCAAGAGTTAACATTTTTATTGCCTAGCTGGGGATGAATAACGCTTTTTCTGACTAAACTGACATCTCTCTCAAGTAAATTTCATAAATCTGTAAAAATTGTCACATCTCAGAATTCAGATTTTTCTTTCTCCTTATATTATTTAAAATCACCAAAAACAAATAATAAT